AAACCAGACATATGTTCATATTTCCAAGCAAAACAATCCTTATATTCCTTTGATAAAATGATTAATTTATCACTAACGTCTTGATCGAGCATCTGGCTGACTAATGTTGGACAATCTTTCCCTTCATTGCCAATATTCACTTTAATTAGAGGGTCTTATGCGTGAGCGTATCTAGGCTTGGTGATCCTCATTACTTCATCGTCCATATCCCTTATAGGCACTTCTTCTTCTAAATAATCCACTTTGTTGACTTCTCGGCCAATACTTTGTTCCAACTCGAACACTGCCAATTTGTCTCCCAATACTTTTAAGGCTGCTTCTTCTTTCGTCTTGTCTTTGCATTTTTTATTGAAAGTCATTAACTTGGCTTTGAAGGCCTGAACATCGGCCATTTTGTCTTTGTTGCTTACAACTCATTTAAAACTCTTTGGTTACTTTTTTGCCAATTACTGACTCCTCTAGGGCCACTATGTTTGGCCTTATTTGACTGACTATTTCAGTGAGCGCATCTACTAAAAACGGCTCTTCGCTCTGTACAACAATTTAAGTTTCTTCTCCATCTTGGACTACTCTGACAGGTCCATAATTTCCTTCGTACATGAACATTTCCACTGAGTTTGCTTCTGCGACAAAAGGTCTATGATCTGCCTGTACCACTTCTGCTTCACCCTTGTCATTCCAGAAAACCAGGCATTGATGGAGCGATGAAAATATGCTGCGACTTTCGTGTATCCAATCTCTTCCTAATAACATATTGTAACTAATAGGACCATCTATTATGAAGAAGACTATGGTCCTAGTAGTTGTCCTTACAGTTATGTCCAATAGCATAACTCCTTTAGCTGAAGTTGCCCCTCCATTGAAACTAGTAAGGATGACTTCTATTGGAATCATATCACTTTTTGTCTTTGCAAATTTCCTCATCATCGTAGATGGAATGGTGTTTATAACTGCTCCATTATCAATGAGTACTTTCGCCACAGGTATACCATTAACTAGAGCCTTAACGTACAATGGCATCAAGTGTTTAGTTAACTTCGTGTCTAGCCTCTTAAAAATAACCTTTTTGGCAGCATCTGTTTCCACTTCTTGCTTGTCCTCTGTTGAATTATCCTTTTGTGATAAGTCAACGTGTAGTATGTCGCACTGAGCTTCCGCTTCCTGAATTTCCTTTTTACTACTCTCCGAAACTTCCTTTTCAGTTACCCAACCCGTGGGAAGAGGTAATATACTTGGAGGTGATCCATACTTTTCAGAGCGAGGTACTCTCCTTTTCCTCTTGGGCGTCCCATACAACACATAGTAATCGAAAGAACGCCAAGATGGTTCCCCCAACAAGTGCACTTCACGAACTCCCTCTCGATGTAGTTAATTCAACAGAGTATTGCGCGATACTCCTTTCTTTCTTCTTTCTACCTCCAGATCAATTTCTTCTTCGATGTCCGTCATACCATCATCATCTTCATCATTGTAGGCCCTTCTAGAAGTTTGACCCTTTTCACATTCCAACACACATGCTTCTTCTTCGTTATCTTCCCTTTCCTTTTCTTCTTTCTCTTTGTTCTTGAACTCATTGGCTAGTAAATAGTTATTAGCCATGACGGGAGGTAACATAGTAATGGGCTGATCTGGATTTTCTTCATTCCTTCTGTCTCGCTTAAACTTCAATCTCCCAGAAGAACTCTTGGTAGTTCTCCAATCGATTCGCCCATACCAGTCTCTTCACTGTCTTCGAGAACATTTTGATTGGCCACCTCGAGTAGTTTAGGCGCCTTAGGACGTAGCAATCCCTGTTGTTGCCTCATCATTCATCCATAATTTCATTGAAAACGCCTTTGTTGGGTTCTAGTCATCTTATTGAAGGGTATCACCATTCCTGCATTATACTGAAATGAATAACATATATTTGGTTGGCGAGGTTGTGGCCTGAATGTTCTCCCATTATTTATTGACCTAAACTGCCTCTCAAAAGGTGGTCTTCTATAGAATGATGTACCTCGCCCTCTAACAGGCTGAGCGTTTGGGAAAAAATTAGGGTGATGGTGATGCTGCCATATCCCTGGTTTCTCTGTATTTGCATTCACTTCTCATTTACATCTTCCACACAGGACGTCTTCATCCTTTTCAGGTTCCTTCCCTTTGATACGTTCAAAGAGTCTGGGGTGTGGCCCAGGGTCCTCTTCTCCATCATCTATGACCAACTTGAATTTTGGCATCTTGTTTTTAAAACCAGTCGTCACC